GTCTCTCTGCAAGACCTACACATACCTTTAAAACTAAAGTTTTAAAAAACTATACGGAGCCATGCATGGTAGTGCATGTCTATAATCCCAGACGCTGAAGCAAGAGGACTGCTAGTTTCAGGAGCAGCCTGGACTACATAGTGAGTTCAAGGCCAACCTACACAGTGAGACCCTGTCTCAAAAAAACCAAACAAAATCAATCTATATTGGATTATATTTCCTAGTCTTTTCTTTTCCATTCCATATAATGGGGTAGAGGGGCTTAACTGAACTCCAGGATGTGCGATCACTGGTAGTTTACACGTTGATAAACACCAAATTGCATGCCAACAAGCAAAATAGGAGATCACTCTACTTAATAAAACAGCCTCAGTTAACACCACTCAAAAGCTACTACTGTTAGGCTCTCCTCTTCTACTCGCTATAATAACCTTTATTTCAAACAAAACAGATGCAAAGGGACTCTTGAAAGTGATGTCGAGAATACAGCATACCATTAGAAGACACAAACTGGAACTCATTGTGCTCGCTTATTTTCAGCAAGGCAAAACAACATAAAATTAATACCACTTAATAAAAAGAACTACAACTAGGAAAGGCCAGGTCCTGATGGATTCACTGCCAAATTCCACAAGAACTTTAGAGAAAATCTAGTACCAATTCTCCTCAAACTCTTGAATGAAACTGAAAGAGAAAGAGTGCTCCCAAGGTCATTCCTGGTTGCCAGCATTACCCTGGTTCCAAAACCAGAAAAGAACTCAACCAAAAAAGAGAAGTGAGCTGGGGATTTAGCTCAGTGGTGCCGCCACGTGCCTCGCAAGCGCAAGGAGCCAAGTTCAATCTCTGGTACCAAAAAAAATAGAAAAGGGAACTACAGGCCAGTCTCTTTAGTGAATACAGATGCAAAAATCCTCAACAAGTTACTGGCAAAAAGAATGCAACAAATAATCAAAAAGCTTGTATATCATTGACCAAGCAGGATTCATACGAGGGATGCAGGGATGGTTCAACATATGCAAATCAATAAATGTAATACATCACATAGACAGAAGCAAGGACAAAGGCCACATGATCATCTCAATTGATGCAAAAAAAGTCTTTTAAAATTTAACATCCACTCATGATTAAAAAAAAAAAACCTGAAGAAAGTAGGTATAGAACAACCTTCTCTCAATCTGACAAAAGCCATTATGACAAACCAATGGCTAATGTAGTAGTAAATGGAAAAACGCTGAAAGCTTTTCAGCTTTTCCTCTAAAATCAGGAAAAAGATAAGAGATGTGCACTATCATCACTCCTGTTCAATACAGTTCTTGAAACATTAGCAAGGAAAATCAGCTGGAAGATAAAATGGGTAAAGCTCTTGGAAGACAAAGATGTAAGCAAGGACTTTCAGAATAGAACGCCAACGGTCCAAGAATAACAAATGAATTCATATCAAACTAAAAAGGTTCTTTTTTACCAATCAAAAAATGGGCAACCAAAATGAACAAAATTTTCTCAGAAAAAGTGCGAATGGCTAATACAAGAAAAAATGTTCACTATCACTGGCCATTAGAGAAATGCAAATTAAAACAACAATGAAATTCTATCTTACTTCAGAAAGAACGGTTATCATCTAGAAATCAATAACAAATGTTAGTAAGGCTGTAGGGGAAATAAAAGGAAACTTTTACATTGTTGGTGGGAGTGTAACTGTTAAAACCACTATGGAAATCAGTACAGAGAATGCTCAAAAAACTAAAACTAGAAATTCCTTTTAATCTAGCTACTTTATTTCCCTTTTAGCTATCTTCCCAAAAGAGTTAAAGACATCATATTATAATGATATATGTATAACCATGTTCACAGCAGCACAATTCACAATAACTAAATCTTGGAAGCTGCCTATAGGTCCTTCAACAGATGAGTAGATAAAGAAACTGTGGCATTTATACACAATTGAATACTACTCTGCCATGAAGAAGGATAAACTGGAATCATCTGTAGGAAAATGGATGCACAAAATGGATGTCATCTTATTAAGTGAAATAAATTGGACACACAAGCTTAAATAGCACATGATTTCTCTTACATGAGAAACCCAAATATACATAAAGAGCAAAATAAAAGATAGATAATAGGGGAGAAAAGACTTCTAAAGGAATTCTTGGGTGGTTTTTTTTTTTGTACCAGGGATAGAACTCAGGACCTTGGGCTTGCGAGGCAGGCACCAGAACCACTGAGCTAAATCCCCAGCCCCTACTTCTTAGTTTATTAATCAAAATATTGTGGTTTTATTTCTGCCTTTTGTGACGTTTGTGGCATTTGACAGCTTTTTTGAAAGCTTTAGACTTTATTCTCTGTTCATGATACTATAACTCTGTATTTTTGTCAAGTAAATCAACCTTTGGACAGGGGGGCTACCACTTCTGAGAAACTCTGTGACTATAGGAGGCATAAACTTAGAGAAACTAAAAAATTAACCCAATTTCAACACATATGTACATATATTTTATTTCAACTTTTCTAAAAACTGAAATACAAACATTTTTTAAAGCAATACATTATTTTCTATATTCAGGACACTAATATTTTCTATTCTAAGACATGTTTTAAGGCTGGTCATAACCCACTGAACCTATTTCTTGACCCTGTATTAAATAGGCCAACAGCCAGATGTGGTGGTGCATGCCTGTCATCCCAGCACTCTGGGAAGATGAGACAGCAAGATTACAAGTTTGAGCCTAGCCTGAGCAACTGAGTGTCTCAGCAAGACCTTGTCTCAAAAAAAAAATTTTTTTAAGGGTGAGAATACAGTTCTGTGCAAGGCCCTGACTTCAGTCCTCCATACTGCAGAACACATGGGGGAAAAATGAGTGAATAGATAAAATAAATGGCCTGAAACCTACAAATTTGAAAAACACAGCTTTAGAGAAATCAAAAATCATCCTTGCAGAGTCGGATGACCATAAATAAATTACAAATGTCTAGCCCACCTTCTTTCACTGATGAGAAAAGGGTCAAAGAATTAAAAACATCAAATAATGATGGCGTACTTTATTCTGTGAAGATCACAGGCAAAAGCCCAAGAGTCAGTACAGGAAAAAACAAAATAGTACCCTCCTCCAAAAAAAAATCCTAATTTGGTATTTAATATTCATCATATATTTGTTAATCTACACTGCTTCCTGTTCAACTCTAGACTAACCATGTGTACATTACTTAGCAATGTCAAGTATGTAAACTGAATGGTTATATACTTATGTTATTATATTTCTATATATAAACTGATATTTTTCCAGGTCATTTTCACCGTCAAGATAATAAAGCAAGCATTAGATATGAAACAGGCTATTTGATCCTTAAGTTTTTAACTACAAACCTATAAACTTCCAATAAGAACAGTGGCTGGGGGCCCGGAGCTTTAGCTCAGTGGCACCACACCTACCTCGAAAATTCAACGTCCTAAATTCAATCCCCGGTGCCATGGGGAAAAAAAGAAAAGTGCTTGGAAGCCAGGCACAGTGGTACCTACCATGTGCCTGAAAGGCATCACCGAGAGGCTGAAGCAAGTAGATCACAAGTTTGAGCCCAGCGTGAGCAACTTAGTGACTTAACAAGACCCTGTATCAAAATAAAATTTTTTTAAAGGGCTGGAGATGTAGCTCAGTACAAAAGCCCTGGGTTCAATCGCCAGCTCCGGAATAATAATAATAATAATTATTAGGGGTTGCGAACCCTGGCTGTGTATTCTCTCTGGAGTTCAAACCAAACAATAGAGTACCAAATGCTACCCCAGAAAGAAATTTTTAATTTGAAGAAATAAGTACCATAGAGAAATATATTCTGTAAACAATGCATTGAACACTATCTTTAAGCCATTACATTTGGAAATGCCTTTTTGGCAGGCAGATACTACTATGTGCTATCAGATATAAACTTCTGGGTTAAAATCAATGATTGTTTTGGCTAATAAGTAGATCACTCTACCTTGGAACATAATTAGACTATCTTATGGACTAGACTTTAATACAAAACAGTTTTATCTTAGCTTTAAAAATTAAATTTCATTAAGAATTTAACTGCTGACATGATGAAAGGATCTTAACACAAGGAAGCCTGATAAAAATCATGGGCTGCACCATCATATTTCTATTCAATTCTTCTATCCATTACTTAAACTTCTATTTTCCCAACATATTTCCCTTATTACATAAAAGGTAAACAATTCTGCACTTTATATAACATTTATGAATTCAGCACTTTCAGTTGGTCCACTTCTATCATTCTTCAAAAAAAAAACAAAAAAACTTTTACTATCAACCATAGTAAAAAATTGGGTTTCTAAGATTTTGAATTTAATAAGTTCTGACTACATTACTCAGATAAATTTTATGCATATAAACAGCTAAAGAATTTCTGGTGGCTAAATTTATTACAAAGCCTAGTATTACCACTCCTAGTAATTACAAGTAACAGCAAGACTACATATAACATATGAATGAGCATATACAAACAAATAGACAATAGTCACAATATTATTTTTTAAATCATGTATTTTCATCTAAGTGAAAATTCTTTGTAAAAGAAAAAACTGTACTAGAAATGGCCCAAATAAGAACTGTTTTGTTGGTCACATGAATACTCCAACTTCATGAAGAATTCATCCATTGGTTCTGGTTCAGGCTACCATGAACTGACAGCACTGCTGAGAACTAATCCATGACGTAAACCAGAAAGATAATTACACACTAAGATATGAATAATCTCTAAAGCACTTGGTGAAAGAAATTATAGCCCATTACTATTAAAACCTAAGGAAAATATTTATCCATGTCTTCCATAACTGTATCTCAAAAAGGAAAAAAATTCAAACATAAAACTAATTTTTAACAAAATACCACCATAAATCCATAATCACATCTGAATCTAAATTTTAAAATATTCAATAAATATAGACTCATGAGTGTTCATTCCACTCGTGACCTTAGGGTCACTAGGAGAGTTCTAAAGCATACCTTTTAATCCACGCCATGGTACTTCAAGAACATGTTAAGTCACAGCTTGGAACACTTCGATGCACCTCAAAACACCTCAGCCAGTATCTGTATCACTCTCCTTTTCTTTTGAGATCATAATGGTTCCGAAGAACTATAATGCTTCCATCTGAATGAGAGTCTCATAATTTCAATGACTTAAAAACAAAAACAAAAAATAAGGACTTAAGTGTTGGTATGTTAAGCCACTAGTGCACTGTGTCAACTGCTGCCATGACTAAGAAAAACAAAGACACTTTGGGTAGCACTGTGCAACAGTCATTTTTTAATGTGAACCTTAATAAGAATAAGTGTCTGTCCTTGCTTTATAGGTCTTTCTAGTTAAGCCCCACAAATCCATATGGCAATTATTTCTTCAATTTTCTTAAGAAACAAAACTAACCTAAATGACAGGTCTGAAGACTTGCTAGGTGCCAAGTCCACTTCTGAATGACAATTATTCTATTCTAAGTTCCTAAGAGCTGGAAATAACCTGCATCCTTTTACTAAAGGAAATCACAGTACAATTTCCTTGAAATACCACTACTCCTGATGTTAACATTACTGAATCATTTAATTGCATGGAAGTCATTCAATCAAAAAACAGCACCAGTTTCTAAAGCTTGTACTTGTTAATAAAATGCATATAATTGAACAGATAGTTGGCAATGATATCATGAGATACATATTCAGTTTTCAATCCCTGTTTCTGGCATATAATTCCTAAAATCCTTGGACTCTTCAGTGATGTGTCTTTTTGTATGCTAATGAGTTGGCCTATGGCTGGCAGCTTCCAAGTAGCTTCTGCAAGGGGACTGGTCATTTGAAAGACCTGATAGTCTTAGACTTTTGGAACTTTCAGCCCCACCCCACAACCTCTGGGAGGGGGAGAGGGTCTGAAGATTAAGTTGATTACCAATGGCCAATGACTCAAGGATGTATAGGTAATGAATGAAGCCTCCATAAAAATACAAAAGGACAAGGTTTAGTAAGCAAAGGCAAACATGTGGAAGTTCTTGGACAGTGTGGAGTCCCCAGAGAGAGCACAGAAGCTCCTAGTCCCTTCTTTCTAGCCCTTGCCCTATTTATCTCTTCAGTGGGTGTTCATCAGTATCCTTCATAATATACTGTACAATAAACCAGTAAAGGTAACGGAGGGTTTTCTCAAGTTCTGAGCTGCTGTAGGAAATGAATGGAACTCAGGTGGGGTCATAGAAGCCCCAGTTTATAGCTGGTCTATCAGAAACACAGGTAACACCACCTGGTGCTTGTGATTCATATGGCGGGGATGGGGAAATGGCATCTTGGGGACTGAGCTTTCAATCTGTGGGATCTGATTTCAGAGCTAAAGTGAACTGGAGAACAATTAGTGTCTACTAGAGAGCTGCTGCTTCGCTTGGTGTAAGGGGGAAAACCCCACATACTTTGGGTCACAGAAGTCTTCCATGCTAATTGGTTAGTATAAGAGAAGAAGAAAATTATTTTCTATAGAATGGCTAACCATCAAGTTTTACTGCCAAATCTGATTGTCTTGGCAGGTATCTGTGTCTCTCTTTACTCTGCCTCACCATTTCTATATAAAAGCACTTAAAATACTCCATTATTAAGATACAGTAATAACTTTAAATCTAAGAATTTACACTGCTGTAGCTGCAAGTTTAATACTATGCAATTATCAGGAAGAATACTTACACAAAGTAAAACTAAGTGATAACTTCTCAAGAAGTACACACATTTAACTGTCATAAAACAAATAAAATTACTTGAGGATGAGTGATCAGGAAAGTTTTTAAAAAGCTAAGCCATAAAGAGGGATCCCAAGGAAAATGAGAAAGGTTCTGTTACACTCTAGGCATACCGAATAGCTGAGGCAAAGGTTAATACACAAAGAATGGAAGACAACTAAGTTTCTGAGCTAGGGCCAAAGAACATGTGCTGAGGAGAAAGTGGAACTACTTCCTATGTGAAAGGATAGAGTTAACTGATGAAACTACTTCAAGGCCAGTGTCAGAAAAATGACATATTGCTAAGATTTAGATTTTTGTAGGTTGTGGGGGAATGCTGATTACAAAATGCAGACCACTTTTCAGAACGCTGATAATGGCAGCAAAATTACATGAAAGATCTTGATCAGATTAGAAATCAACTAATGAAGAACAGAACCAAGGGACCTGGTCCAATGAATTCCCTCCTTGTTTGCAGCCACTGCCATCTTTTTTTTTTTGGTACCAGGGATCAAACTTTGGTCCTTGCACTTGTGCAACAGGCGGCGAAACCACTAACCTAAATCCCTGGCCCTGCTGCCATCTTTCCCCCTCCCCCCATTAAGTTTATTGGTACATTTCGGTATACAATACAGTTACATTCATCACTGGGATCTTGTACCATTACATGAGTCTCTTGGTTCTTATTTTTTTTCCCCTTCCCTTGCCCTCCCTTCACCCCCT